AAATATAGATATATTTTAACAAGTTAAAAACTTGTTTACTTTACTTTGGAAACTATCCAATATCTAACTCCTTCCCCACCAACTAAAATGTGAGGAATTGGTGTTATTTCAAGCTAGTTTATTAAATCTTTAATGGATAAATTTTAAAGGCAATACGTTTTATGATTTTTGCCTACGAAGTAGGGGTTTCTGGATCACTGTGTGGCAGTGAGATGTACTGGGAAGTTGTTTTCAAACAGCCATACTATCATTTGAATACAATACCATTGCAAATAATGAAATGCTGAATTCATTCTTATTTTTGAAAACATCATAATTACGATTAACAAGCCCTCTTTTTAAATGAATCAATCATTTTTATTGAGATTTTTCTATTCAAGCCAAGTAATTAAATTTAAACTTACCCTCTTTTTTAGGGAGCGACATGATGCAATCCTACAGGTTCCAAAAATTGTTTAAATGAAAATAACTTAAAATTCCTTTTTTTTTTTTTTTTTTAGTTACAATATTAACAGGGGACTGTACAAGACCAGATGACAGTATTAAATACTCTACAATGTAAGGGAAATTAAAAGAAAAATTTAATGTAGTGGTATCTATTTGGACACCTTGGCCTGAAAAGGGTTAAGGAAAGATTTTCTTAATTACATCAATTTCATTTATAGTTAAAGTTTCAATCATTATTATCATTGATTTCTGTAATATTTTGCTAATAAATGATGAAGCAGAAAATTGTAACTTTTCATTGAAGCTATTTATAATTGCCATTTGCATTGGCTAATATAGAAATCTTGTAATTTTACATTGCATCACAACTTTTGTTACCAATTAATGACCCTAACGTTGTTACTTTAATTAACCACTTATTTATTGAGAATGTAGGTTTTTTTTATAATGATTAAATATATGAAGCTTCCTAAGTGAGTGAGAAAATTATTGCTGTCTTAATATTTTAAATAAGAAATATATTTTTAAATGTTGTCTATGTAACAATATGTGTGTATAATGCAACCCACCCACACATCACTTAGTCTTTACACTGAAATTTAAATTGTGTATAATTGCAGTTCTATCTTAGATAAAAGAAAATCGTTGTGACAAACAACATTCTTGTATTATATTGTTAAATAAAATGTTAGAGAAAAAAAAACTTTGAAAAAATTTGTTTATTTTATTTTTGTATACATCAGGCAATGTTTTGGACTAATTTACCCATCTTCAAATCCATCTAAACCTTGATTTTGTTCAATAAATAAGAAAGGACATTTAATAAAAGGCCATCAAAGTTGTGTTATAATTATTATATTTTTTATTTATTTGTTTTTCATGTTTTTCTAGTCCTGCTTCAAATAAAAGAACTTATTAAGCATATGTGAAAATAATTTGTGATTTTTAAAAAGCTAACAAATATTTTTGTATTCTAAAATTAAAGATACAAAATTTATTTTTTATTATCTTTTTTAGCAATGAGAATATATATGTATTCACATGATTGTTTTTCTCTTGATTATGAGCAGTATATTATTTAATGCAGAAATAAATTATTTTGTTAAATATATAAAACTTATAAGTCATCAACGCTTAGTATATTATTTTTTATTTAATTATGTTTTGTCACACTTATAGTCATCAAATATATCCCAGAGAGAATATTTATTTAAATGCCTTTAGTTCAGTTCTGATAATAAATATTTTTTTGTTGAAATAAAATCTTTTTTATGGCAAATTTTTATTTGAGAAGTTGTTTAGAGGGGCTGTCAATGAAGCAAAACAAAACATTAATGAGTAAAGTCTATAGTTATGATTTTGGACCATTCAAAAATTAATTTTCATTTATTGTATTTTACTTAACTGACAACAACCCCTACCAACCTCTTAATTACATCAACAGCCAACTGTATACATACCATTATGAGTGATTTATTTGTATTAAATTCTTTATTTAATGAATTAGATATAAGATGGATATTTTTTATTTTTTTAATATATATCTATATTAACCTACTTGTATCCTTAAATACATCTTTAAAAAGGTTGGTTGCCTCTGTAAAAATAAACTTAAATTATTAACCAAGTTCTTTTTCTGTTTTCTGAACTTCCTTTTCATAGTTATCTGTTATAATACTTTGTGTAGCTAAATGAATAAATGTTTCGATGCCTACAGATAAGTATTTTTAACTCTGAATGGTTAATCTCAATGTATGCATCTAATTAAAATCATTTCAAATACTATAACGAAAATAGTAATTTAAGTGAAATCAAAAGGAATAATAAGAACACATTATGATAATATATAAAAATGATCATTCAATTTTTTAGTCTGCAAATTGTCATATTAAGGAGCAGTTTTAAACTATGTTTCGTAGTTTAAAATAATATTTATATTGATCATACAATTTTTTTACTACATTATTCAATGAATTAATATAGAAATTGCCAAAGAATTATATTTTGGGGATTTTTTTTTAGCTATATAAGTATTAATTGATGTTAAGAAAATGTTATCCATATAATTGATCAGTCGACTATTTACCCATCTCTTAAGAAAGTTATATACTTCTGTTGTTCTGCAATAAACCATATTTCGGTTCCTTTCCTCATTTGTTTCTTTAATTATAACTGGGGTAATGATTTAAAAGTTATTACTAGTATTCTGTAATATAGATTATTACTTCAGAAACAAAGAACCTTAATTTTACAAAATTTGGGAAGGTTAAAAAATAAAAAAAGAAGATTGACTCAAAAACCACAAAACAGAAATGTTTTTAGACTCTAAGTACCTAGCGAATCTATTGAGGTGTTGCCTATGTTGACATTCTCAAGCCTAACGGTGCTGGTTCAAATCCAACCTGGGTGAGTTAAAATTTATTTAGTGATGACCCACAGAGCAAATCTCAACCTTCCTATTCTAGTTTGATTAGAATAGGTTTGGTTGTACTTCTAGAACAAACCCCAACCCCTCCATATGTCCGAAATGGCAAGGTAGGGAGTCATAGATGAAAACAAAAAAATGATTCTATGTTTCTTGAAACATAAAACTTCAATGTAAAATGTAAATATAAAAATAAGAGAAGACCATACATTTAAGAACTAGTTTAGAAGTACAGAGAAGAAACACAAATGAATAATTATAATAATAATTAGTTGTACATATTTTAAGAAAATTACATTTAAATATTAGATAATATTGAGGAATAATGGTTAAAAGTATAATGAATACAAAGTAAAACCAGATGATCGTACATTTATGCAGACTAAATATAAAATTAAAAATAAGAGAGAGATCATACATAGCGGAGATACTTAAAAATAATGAATGATTAAAATAAATTAATCAATAAAAATTGAAGATAGATTAAAAAAATAAACAGGAATAATCAAAGATGTAATAAAGAAATTATTTTCCACTTATAAGATTTAAAACGTGCCCTATATGTTAAAGAAATGCAGTTTTTATCTACATTATAATTAACAGGATTTTGTTCCATGTAAATGTGGATGGATTCGGCAATGATTCTTTTTTCACGGTTGGGGACCATGGCAAGAATAGAAGTTTTTTCAAAATCAAATGAATGATTAGGGTTAAGGCATGTTCTAATGGTTTGGAGGTGGAAGGGTTTCGGGAAGTAATGGATGTTTTATGTTGGGAAATACGGATTTAGAGATGGTTGTTTCGCCAATGTAGGAACTATTACAATTAGTCGTAGAGCTATAGTTGTAGTAGAAACTACATTAGATCGATGTTGTAAAAGTATGGATTCTTTCAAATTGGTGAAAAGGAAGGAAAGTTTGCTTTGGGACTTGAGGCTAAGACTTAAGTTGGTTATGGTCAATATTAGGAATTTTTGTATAATATCTGAAAGAATAAGAATATAAGAGAGAGATTTGTATATTAAAGAAGTGGTAGGTGATTGTATGGAGTTGAGAGAAGGAGAGGTTGTACAGTTGTTTAAAAGTTTAAGTATAGTATTGAGAGGGAAATTATTGGTATATTTTAGAGTGTTGTACTCAGCGTGTCAAAAATATTTCCTAAATTGAGTCAAAAAATACTCCTTTCCAATAATTTCCCTCTCAACACTATACTTAAACTTTTAAACAACAATACAACCTCTCCAATCTATTTTCATCTAGTTTTGCCACTATTTTAGTGTATTTATGATCTCGCCACCCCAGACCATCTCCTTCCTCTAAAATACAACAGTCAACTATTAAATATTCAATATTATACATAAATTAGTTGTTAATCTTCAGCAAAATATTTTAAAAAGAGTAATGAAATATTGTGTGGACACTGTCACTTTGCTTAACATAAATAAAAAGGAAAAATATTAATTAATTCAAAAATAAAAACGTATTGTTTTCCATGTTACATAAATTTTCAATTTATTTATAAAAAAAATAACTATATACATATTTCACTATAATTCAATCATATTATAAATACAAGTGATAAAAATTATTGAAATATAATCACTGCCAACATTAGAATTGTGTAAAAGTTTGAGTATTCATATAAAAAAATTATAATGTGATATTCCATACGATTTGAGTCAGTTAATTAAGGAAACAAAGTCTCAATATTTATCTGATCTCTCCTTTTTTGTAGGACAGGATTATTTTTACAATTATACAAAAATAAATTTTACTTGCAGATGGACTCAAATTGAACGAGGATTTTGAATTAAAAATACCACTGTCAAAAGATGTAAACAAAGTTTTTAGTGACACATTACAATAACAATATAAATTTTTAAACCACAATTTATTGATAATGAACAATAATTTTATTATTTCAATAGTTTCAAATTTTATTTATTAAACGAGTAAACAATATCAAGATAGATCAGACATATCCATATTAGAAAATATATATTATTAAGTTTGGATGGGAAAATTATAAAACAATGCCTTAAGTATGATCAATCTAATACCATCAAATTAAAAAATCAATAAAGACAAAGATAAATTCAGGAGTTGAAACTTTTATGGAACTTCTTAAAAAAGTTTTTAAATAAAAGTTCCAAACAATTTTTTGTGATAAAGTTTTAGAATTTTTGTAAAAGTTTAACTTTTATTAAATGAGGAATATAGAATAATTGGGCTCAGACAAGAGATAATACAATCAGCATGTTTTAAATTCACTATTCGGTGGAATGAATTCTTTAACAGTACACCTATCTGTAAAACCTTTAATTATAAATTTTCATGAGAAAAAAGTTCTAGCTCCAAAATAACACAAAACCAATCATTTTTTTTTTTTTTTAATTATACTGAAACTGATACAAAAATGAGTTAACCTTTCATTTTTAGCCTAGGATAAATCATTTAGACAGATCATCTTAGAACAGTTACTAAACACTTTTAGGCTGTTAATGTGAAATGTGATGAATCTGATCTTACATTTTGTAGAATGAAATCAGAAGTATTTGGTAAATTATTGCAATTTGAGGATCTTAAAGGCTGGATTTGGAAACTTCAATTATAACCTAATAATAGTTTTGTCTCTTTTTTCTCCCTTTCATTAATTAGAAAGTATTATTCCTTTCTTACTAACATCTTAATACTATAATACGATTAATATTTAATTAAATAAAATCAACAATAATATTAATGAAATAGAAATGCAACCAAGTATCACACAAGTAAATAAGTTTACATTTTGAGGTTTTTAAAATAAAATCACCTCCGAAAATGAGAGAAGACAAACCAATAATCATGATCTAATTAATAGCTGATTAACTAAAAGGAAAGACATTCAGGGTACAGATTTTGAAGGTAATAATCATAGCTCCTCATGAGTAGGTTTGGCCAACTTTTTGTAGGATGGGTGGTAGAGTACATGATCTGCAGCAACACAGACTAGCCGATAGAACTCTTCTGGTTCAAACCTGTAGTTGGTGAATTTAGCGTGGGCCCCTCCATCAGGATGATGTCCCTACAATATGAGATTATGTTTAAAATTAGCAAGTTATAACTAAAAAATTTCCAAGTTCTTAATACAAACAAAAAATAATTATTAGTGTTGTCACCGATATTGATTACATATTTAAAAGTGGAGCGAACAGAGAGAACTTCTTAAGAAATTTTCTAAAATTCAATCCAATAGTTCAAATCAAAGAGAATAATTTTTTATATATCTCTGGTTGTGAAGTCTAATTTATCATAATTCAAATAGCTAAATAATTATTCACATATGCCAAATTGAAAATCATTTTAGGTGAAGATAAAAAGCCAGAATAAGTTGGGAAAGTTCATGTTTATAACCGTTTGAAAGCTTGCTCATACCAAGATGTGTTTTTAGGGTTATAATTGTTTTTTATTATTATTGATTCTATGATGTAATTACGTTGTTAATATTAGGTGACCAGATTTTAACATTGGTAAAACTGGACACCATTGACAGGGGGAGAGGGGAAGAGAGTGACCGAGCGGACTAATGCGTGAGCAAACACGTTTGGGCTTTATGTAAACATGGATCGTAGAAGTCATAAGATGGACCTGAAATCTCACTGAGAGCTTGTGAAGGAAAGCTCCACCTGATCCACACTTTTCAAGCAGAGTACTTTCTTGCATAGTTTGAATTTATAAAATAGATGGTTATTCAAATTCATACAAACATGCAAATATTCATTTCATTAGTATATATCTCATGCAAATATTTATCTCAGTAGTACATATCTCCATGAATTCAGATTGAACATACTGAATTATACTAACCTCATCCTGCGGAAACACTAACTCTTTCTTCTCCCAAGTGATATATTTGACTCCTCTAAGTCTCGCTAGATCGTGATAACAGTTTTCATCTTCACAATTATATCTATAACACACATAAACAATAAATTGATAAAGGTCTACTTTGAAAAAAAATGAAATTTTTAAGGTAAAACAATTTAAATATATAGTTTTTGTTCTTTTTTTTTTTTTGTCTTTATTTAGAGATATTTTATTTGTAGTTAAGATGTTTTTTTATTTCTTTCTGTATCTTAAAAATTGAACATCAACGAGCTGTGATTTTGGGCACAATTCGATTATTATATGAAATTTTATCTTTATTGTTTCTGAGATTCTCAGAATGCAAGAATTAGTCAATATCTCATTTTCATTTTTGTATCAAACTCACTCTTTAACTTCGTCAATCTCCAGAAACTAGAGGTCATAACATCAAATCACCCCCTTACTGTAATTTAAGGTATTGTGAGGGAATGCCTGAAGAAGAAATTGGCAGCCAAAATTTTTATATTAAAGAGTTCTTCATATTGTTTTCCATTTTTAGTTTTGATAAGTAGTGAGCCATTTTTTATATTTTTTTACATTTTTTAAGTCTCCCAGCAAACCTGAAAGAAACTTATTAAGAAAAGGGATACTTTTTTAAAAATGTTGATCATCTATTCTTTCTATTATATAAATATGGACTAATTGAGACTGCAATCCGTATTTTCAGGTTCAAGTTTAAGACGACCCCAAAATTGTTTTTGTTAAGCTTTAGGGCTATTTACGTCTACAGGATCCTCTGTAGAAGGATAAAATAAAAGGCGAATAAGAGGAAATAAAAAAAAATTAAAAGAAAATAAGTGATAAAAATAAAAAGTAAATATGTCCTTACAGTTTATAAAAAAAAAAATAATAATAATAAAAATATATTCGAGAAATATATTAATATGAATTAATTCAATCCTATCTGTTATATGAGCGACTAGAGGGACGTCTTATCTCTTTTAATGCTTACACTAAACTGTGATGATTATGGTGTGAGGGTTTGCTCCTAATAAGATGTTCATTTTGTTTTATAAATATATTATAGAATTAAAATAATATACAATAGAATTAGCCATATAATTATAACCTTAAGGACACATCTTGGGACAAGCACACAATCATAAGGACGGCCACTAAAACTATGCGCTGAGCGTAGCTGAGTCAGCTTCCAAAACCAAACCAAAAGTTTTTAATGAAAGATTGTCATACAACTAAAACTTAATAATTAATTAAATAATTTATTACATGAGCTCAATTATCTTTATGTCAACCACTAACTAATTCGGTATAGCATATTTTGGCCAAAAGTCATAGCAAAATAAAATGTTACTCACTATCAGTATTGACAACCAATGGAGTGCCTAATACTCTGAAAAACAAGAACAAGTTAAGTTCCGAAAAAACATATCAGGGTCAGCATTTGTAAGTCCTAAAATTTGAGTCATCAAACTTAAAAATTGATACAGATGTTCGCTCAAAAACATTACATGGCTTTTAGGGGAAACACATAATCCTTGTTTCACTTCGCTTAATCGGGTAAAAATGTATTTTATTTTAAATATACAAAATAAATTACTGAATTGAGTAGTTTCCACTTGAAGTTTTGTGGCAAGGCTGATATTTTGTATGAAATTCTTTCCCATGAAAATCGAGCTTAGAAAGTTTTTAAGGTCAACTGTGTTAAATTTTTGGGCAGAAATTGATTAGCCTTAAAGGAAAGGGTAGAAAACCATATTTTGTTAAATAAAAAAGTAAAGGTACTGATTGATATTTATTTGACTTTTTTTTTTCTCTAATATTTTCAAGTACTTTTTATCAAAGATAAAGCAAGGATTCAATTTATGTTATGCTTTAGAGAATATTGAAAATGAACAAAAATAACAAAACGTCATATTTAAAATAAATTGTTCACAAATAATATTAATTAAGTAAAATAATTAAATCTTGCCCAGGCCTGGTATAAATATTAACTACTTAAAATGCTGTGGTATATCACTCGTAAAAAATAATTTATTAGACAGATATCAACTAAATGGAGTGAGAGAACAATATTTCTTGTAATGGTTAAAAGAATATATTGAATATTTAATAGATGACCGTTGCATTATAAAGGAAGGAGATGGTCCGGGGTGGTGGTCATAAATAGGCTAAATAGTGGCAAAACTATTTTATTAAACGTTGAAACATTGGCTTTTAATAAAATAGTTTTGCCACTATTTAGCCTATTTATAACCGCCACCACGGACCATCTCCTTCCTTTAAAAGGATATAGTTGAGTTAAACCCATTATTAAACAGATGCAAATTAAAAGTTATATAGCATTTCAAAATTTACCAGGTACAACAAAAATTTAATTAAACCATTGCAAGTAAAGTATATTTAACCACAACCTGTAATGGGATCTCTCAGGTTTAGAATGACTCATTGGTTTTCTGTTTATCAGGTTACATTTTGGTGAAACAGGAAAAAAGTCTAAGGTGAGAATAGAGGGAGTTTGATAAGAGAATCAACTTACAAAACATATTCAATCCTGCTGAATGAGATCAATTCTCAAACAATACCAAGTAAAGGAAAACTTGTACTTGATCAATTTTCTGAGTATGAAGGAAGTGATGATCACAAACTGAAAATGAGTGGAGATGATTGACCAAAGTCTGTATTCATGACCGAAGGATCGGAAGATTCCAACAAGAAGTGGCAATATAACCATTCTTTTTACTTACAGTTTGACATTTCTATGTCTAAGTTATTATTTGCATGACAGTAAAATATATAAAAATGTGATAGATTAATTGTTCTTAAAGAAATAAATTGTACCAAAACATAATAAATTAGCAAATTAACTGACAAGAATAGTTTATAAATTATGGTCAAAGGCTGATTGTTATTTATATGGTGTTTTTTTCTTCTTTTTTTTTTTTTTTTGTTGAGTCGTCTATGACTAGTAGAGTACTTTTAAAATTCTTTACATTACAATAGAAAGAAGAACCTGAAAAAATATATTAAAACTTAAATAAGGTGTTGTACTCACAATTCAAAAATAGCAGCCCAATCTGGTAGGAAGAGGAGGTGGGTTAGCCCAGCACCATGAATCCCAATAAATACATCTGAGTCATGAGTAAGTTGAACCTGTTTCTCAAAAGTCAGCCCTTTATTATATACTACCTACAAAAATGAATAGTTGTGCATATAAACACTGTCATGAGAGGACATACAATTTTAATAGTTTTATATTTATTTATATATGTCTACATATTTCTTTAAAAATGTACCTCACTACCTCACTTTCCAAGGACAATTTTTTAACCAAATCTCCAGACTAGCAATGGGTAACCCCCTCGCTCCCGACATCTCGAACATCGTTCTCAATGATCTTCTATACTCCATTATCCCTCTTTACCCTGACGATATCATCTTTATTTGGAAATACGTAGACGACCTCCTAATCATCAATCCAAATAAAATTCCTGATATTCTATCACATTTTAAGTCTTACCACCCCTGCCTCAATTTTACAGTACAACGCGAACTCAATAATTCTCTCCCTTTTCTCGACCTTTTAATCATTAAAAATCCCAATAACACCATATCCACAGACTGGTACACTAAACCAACTTACACTGGCAGACTCCTAAATTTCCATTCTAAACATCCCTACTACCAAAAAATTAACGTTGCGAAAAATCTCATCCACCGTAGTCTCTCCCTCTCTGATCACCAATTTCATGTTACCAATACCAAATGCATAAAACAGATCCTGTCAAACAATAATTTTCCTCTCCATGTCATTAACAAACTTATAACAGACCACAATAATCGCTCTTCCTTAATCTCAACTTCCACTAATTCTCCACAACCCATTTCAGCCCCTAAATACAGATCTCTACCTTATATTCCTAACCTTTCAGACAACATCAACAAAGTTTTACGATCTACTAACCCTAACTTACGACTTGCATTCAAATCTCACAACACTCTCTCAAAACTATACACACCGCTCTCATATCGTTTACCGTATTCCATGTTCTACCCCCAATTGTTTTTCATCCTATATTGGTGAAACCAAAAATCTCCTAAAAGACTGCATAACCCAACATAAATATTCTGTATCCTCTCGTAATTTTAACGCTTCCAAATTATCCGAACATTCTCTCTCCCTCAATCATTCATTTGATTTCGACAAAACATCCATCCTTGCCACAGTTCTCAACCATGACAAACGACTCATTTCTGAAACCCTCCACATCCAGCTTCAACCAAAGACAGTGAATCTTAAATCTGACAAAAATAACTTTTCTTTAGCCTATTCCCAAATTCTGAATTTATTAAAACAACCATAGTTATATTCCTTTCCTTTTTGCTGACAACTCCCTTATATATATATATATATATATATATATATATATATATGCGTGTATGTATATGTATGTATGTGTATGCATATGTGTGTATATATATATATATATATATATATATATATATATATATATATATATATATATATATATATATATTTATGTATATATGATATATTTTTATTTCAATTTTTCTTCCTTATTACTCAATAGTTATTTTTCTTTTGAATTTTTCTTTCACTTTCTATTAACTTTCGTTCAATATTCCATAATTTTTCTAAATAATATATCTCTCGTACCTATTTAGGCTTCTAGCGTTTAGTTCAAACTTTGTCCGATAACTGTTAGAGATGACGCCACCTCCACATCCCTTCTCTCTCCCCCTCGCTTGTAACGACTTTATTCTCCCCTTGACACTTAAGGAGAAAGGTAGTACTTCTTTTATTTATTTCTTATTTCAGCTTTCTCAATTTCTTCCCTCCTTCCTTTCATTCCTTTTCTCTGTTGTTAACTCTTTATTATATTTTACATTGTCTGTACATCTTGATAGGCTTTACAATATCTCAATTTTCTATCTAACTACTCCATTCTCAATGTTTTTAATTTTACTATTTATTTTATTTTCATTTCTTATATAACTTTATATTTCTTTTTTATGTTTTTACATTTTATTCTAAGATTCCCAATGTAACACTTTTGTCACCCCTTTTTGATTATGCCTACTTCATCATTCCACACTATGTACCAGTTTTTATTATTTATCTCTTAGTTCTTAGTCATTATTCTAACAATTTCATTTTACTTTATATCTATCTATTTTATTTTTCTTATAATTTTTTTTTTTATCATTTTTTATTATCTTTTTTACCATCATTACTTATGTTTCTCATACCTTGTTATCTGGTTATTTTCTTAGCCCTGATGAAGGCCTGAACTTCAGGTCGAAACGTCGGCATATGTAAAAAATAAATATTATAATTTATTTTTTGCCTTCCTTTTTTGACTGAGCACCCCAACTATTCTTCTCTTCATTAAAAATGTATATTGACTAGATAGAATTTGGTGAAAAATCTTGATGGTCTTCTTCTTCCTCTATCTACTTTGTGCTGTTAAGCGTGGAGTAGTCTCAGCCCACCTTCGCTATGAGTCCCTATCCTGAGCCTTCCTTTTCATCGCCCCTAGGGTCGACCCCCACTTTTGTCCCAGTTTATCCATATAACTGTTATATGTGATTCTTGGGCTTCCAACTGGTCGCTGCCCTCTCTATCTGGCCTCCATCAGTCACCTCGCTCTACGCTCGTCCTCCATCCTGCAGACATGTCCATACTACTTGAACAGGTGTTCCTCTATGACATCTCTTAAACGTCCACCTCCAAGGGTATCTCTAATTGTCCTGTTCCTCAGGCAGTCTCATCTCGTTTTTCCAGCAACTCTTCTGAGATACCTCTGCTGACGTCACTCATGAGGCATTCTTGTCCAAGAGTACCCACCTCTCAGCTCCATATAACAAGACCGGAACGAAGACAGATCTAAAGATGCAAAGCTTCACCTCTTGCTTTCCTACCAGTGGTCTGGAAATTTGGAAGAAGACCTAGTTAGCTTCACGCAGTCGATGTATAACTTTTTAGTCCATCTTCCCATCCCAACAGAAGATAATTCCCATATATTCATAAATATCAACTTGCTCCAGTTAGTGTCCTTCACACACAATCCTAAGCTCCACCTCCTCCCGTCCTACCAGCATAATCTTGCTCTTACCAGGGTTGATGGTGTCCTGTTCTCCTCTTCTCTTAAGCTCCTCGGACCACTCCTCTACTGCAAGTTGCAGAGAATCCACATCGTCTGGTATCAGCACAATGTCGTCTGCATAAACAAAGCACTGGGCTTGGACGGGCAGCATATTCCAATATCCAATAATTGCTTTGGGTGTTCTTCACTTGCATACCTTCAACATCTTGTCCATGACAATGTTAAACAGAAGTGGACTGAGGCTATCTCCTAGCTCAATCCCTTTTTAAAATCTGAATGGAGCAGACCAGACTTCATTCCATTCAATATAACTACTCCTTTTGGATCCTGTAAGCTGATTTGATGGCCCTAATAAGGATCAGTGGTATGCACTTCTCCTGTAAAGCAGTCCCAATCTCCTGTCTTCTGACCGAGTCAAAGAAAGGCTGCTTTGAGGTCCAAAAAGGCAATGTAAACATTTCGTCCTCGGTCCAATGCTTTCTCCATAACCATCCTGAGAGAGAAGATATAGTCCTGAATTTGTCTTGAAGGACGGAAAGCAGCTTGTTCTTCTTCCATGTCAGGTTCAACGTAAGCTCTCAGCCGCTGCTCCAGGATCCTTGTGTACACTTTATAGACCACTAAAGAGACACATGGGTCTGTAGTTTTCAAATAAGGTCCGGTCTCCCTTCTTGTGCAGATATAATTAGATTTTCTTCGCATTCCTCAGGTATGGTCCGGTCAGAGGAGTTCCATATCCTCTGAAACAGGTTCTGTAATGCTTTAACTAATGCTGGTTCCCCAAAATTTCTTTTCCAAGCTTAATATGTACCACTTGATGGTCCTCCAAGCTTGATGATCACTTCTAATAGTAAATAAATAAATAAAAATTTCTAACAGTTTATAAATTTTAAACATAAATGAATTGACACGAGTGGCATACACAGCAAGTTAAAAATGAAATTTCGAATTGTCCATCAATATCACAGGTGAGGAACCTCAGGCTTCACAGTGCCCATATGACCTGATAGTTTTTGCACTATCTTCAATAATCTAGCATTAAAATGAATTAATATGTAATTATTTAAGTTAAGAAAGTTTATAAATTATTGAATTAAGATGAATATATGTGTGCATATTTTTATTTACTTATAAATAAAAATATAAATAGTGAAATATAAAAAAAAAATATTATGACCTCCATTACCACTGATGGATCTATGGTCTCTAATGAAAAAAAGGTTTCCCGTCTATGATATAGATGGTTAACATAAAGGTATTACTCAAACAGCACTGATAAAACTTAAATTTGAATAAAATGAAGTCAGATTTTTACCCTTTGAACAATAAATCTTTTGTCCTCTTTCAATCTTTCTATAAGCTGGTCCTCATTCAGAATATTTCTGTAAGAAGACTCCCGTGATAGAACTGTAATTGTAAGTTTTCCACTTTCTCTTGCTTTCGTTGTTATACCCAATCTGTGTAGTATATGCTGCGAGAACGCCTTAAAGAGTCCACTCCCTTCACAGCCCCATATCTGTTTCAACATAAATAAAACCAATGAATCATGTTTATAATTTTCTTTCTCCCTTCCATCTCCATTATATCACCTTCAAAATTTTAAAATGAATAAATTTTTACTTCACTGACTCATATGAGACAGGTTATTGAAGATAAAATGAGTAATTGAACACAATTAATTCAAACATGAAAAATACCATAAAATTTTCCAAAATATGAAAACCTGTATCTTGTAAACTATTTGATTTGCCGAGTCTGTTCTGGTTTAAAAATTGTAGCATACTTAATGTAGTTTAAAAATATATAGAATGGTTTTTGTCTCCGAGGTCGAAAACTTGGATTTTGTACCTAAGTCATATTCCATATAAGAATATAGAAAGAACCTTATTCCCATTCAAAGCAACTTAGGATGTACAAGGTTACTGGGCTAATGCTTTAAATACATACTAGTGTTCGCCCAGTGGTCGAAATTCGACCATAGCCATTAAAAATTTGAAAAAAAGATATAATTAAATAAAAAATAAAGAGTAAATCACGATTCAAAAATCCTCATTTATTAATGCAAACAAAATTTCAATTTCAATTAAAAATCGAGCTCAAGTCATTTAAAATTATTTATAAGTAATACAAAATACACTCATTCAAAATATTTAATTTTCATTTTAATTTATGTGTGTTATTATCACAATAAATTTATGTTATGATTAAGCAAGTAAAAAATAAATTTAAATTAGCAATTTAAATTCACTTTAAATCCATTTTTATTCAGAACATCTATGTAAATAATGTTCTATTTGAATGTTCTGTTATTGTTTAGTGCATAGGCCCAATTTATATTTTAAATGAACGTGCTCTAATTGCTGCCACATATAATTGTCCATGCGAAATTACTGGACGTCACAATAATATACACATTTTTCCAAAACTTTTATCCTGCGATTTGATTATGATCATAACAAATGCAGCTATTAATAGGAAGGTTGTTCTTTGAAAGTACTAAGTAATAATAGACCCAATTACCTCAATAAATGAAAAGTTTTCGATTTATCAAAAAACAAAATAAAAGGAATCGAACTTGGAAGGGAAAGAAAACGTACTAAATGTTTAAAATGATATATCTCTGCAACAAATAGTCCGATTTCGATGATTTTTTTTTTTTTATTTTGTAGGGAATCCAGAAAGCTTTCAAATAAATATTGGTATTATTGAAGGCTCCTGCCTTGACAAAAATTTGAGGTAAACATTTTTATTTTTGGATTGCAATGAAAATTTGTATTTGAGGGTTTGCCAAGATGCGAAAGAAGAATCTCAACTCCGTTCCTCATTAAAAAAATATTTGAACCCACTTTGCTCCTTTGGCCGTTACGAATTGTTTCATTTCAGAGATGATTCTTTTAGATTTCGATAGTCTTTTTTTTTTATTTTGTAGGGAATTCAGAAAGCTTTCAAATAAATATTGGTATTATTAATAAAAAAATGTGTATTATTTGAGTTATTTGCAAATAAAATACTGAATTCATCATAAAAATGTATGCAGCTTGTTTTCGGAAATGTTATATACATAAATTATAAAGGTTTCAAGGGGAAGACTTTAGCCAAGTTTCATTGAAATTGTTGAAGCCGTATTGGCGTTACAGTCTAAAGCGAATCACCTTTTTCGGCCACCATTTCGAAAGGAAAGGCCCGATGATAATGAAACATATACAAAAAAACTTCTAAATATTATTGCGATGTTGTGTCAAAATTTAAAAAAAATCGGTGAAGAACTTTCGGGAATAAGCCGTTTTGAACAAACTACCAATTATATTTTTATTGACATACTATTTAATATTTTTATTTATTGATAACACTAAAGCTCGTCAATATCTATTAAACAAAAAAAGAATGAAGAAAATCGGTAGAATAATAGAGGAGTAAAAGGGGCCGAACCGATTTGTGTTTGCCTATTTATATAATGATATACATAGTTGGTACAACAACGCGTTAATGGGTCTAGGACTCCTCCAAAAGTCTCTGCCAGTTGGCTCGTGTTACATTAACTAAAGCTTGTGCAGCATTTAAGTTACGAATAAGCATAACTATAGAATTTACTTTTAACTTTAATTTATAAGGTAGCATTCCACTAACATTCAATGAATTTAAAAATTCAGTGGGATAAACATTTACATTTAAATAATTTTGTTCAGATCTAATTTTGTCAAAGCTAAAGTAAATTCTTTCTTCTCCTAAAAAATGATTAAGTATATTATTATTAATTATACCAAAATCATCATTTGTCGATCCTAAAATAATTCTTTTAAGAATTTATAAATGTCATCAATTATGTTATCAACATTTCTAAAAATGTGGGATGGTAATTCTATAGTATCTTCACCGAACTCAAGAAAATTTCTTAATCCACCATTCCTATGTTTTTGCAAAAATTGAACATATTCAACTTCATCTGGTCTAGCTCTCATAATGAACTAACTTGATGAAAGGAATTAAATTGATACCAGTTAACTATACAATTTTGATAATATGATTCAACATTTTTTTTGGATGTTCAGTTCAATGCCTCATTTTACTTTTGAAAATATTCTATATAAATAAAACTGACAATTTTTCTTCATTGAAAATATTAACATGGATCATGTTTAATAAAAACAATTACAGTTAAAACTTTGAGGATGAAATTTTTTTTCAAAGCTAAACAAAAAAAAGTTTCTGGAGGAATAGTAGAATTATGACAATTATCATAAAGAACCTGCAGAAAATCTGAATAAATGTATGAAATCTTTTCAGTTCTGCTACCACATCTTCATATAAGAAGAGACTACAAATACCACTTACACAACCCTAAACTTATCATATCCTTCAAGGAACCTTAAGGAGAAAGCATTTGACATTTACTTTCTATCAATAATACAGTAAGCATCAAATAGCTGTAAACTATTTAATATAAAACTCATAACAAAATATCAAATGGTAAAATGAATATTTTAGATAAATTAGATTAACAATTAAATTTCATAATTTTTATTACTAACAATTGGTGTGTTGTAGAAAAGTCCAAAGATCATGCGTGGAAGGAGGGGAAACACAACATTCTTGAAACAGACTGTTTTACCACTAAATGTATTCAAATCCCAGATCGGATGTCGAGTAAAGGCCTTCCATGTTTCACCGAAGTTGGACCTATTAATAGCAAAACATTGCTAAATTAAATAGTAAATATTTTGCTTATAAAATAATATTAGATGACCAATTAAGCAATTAAATATACAAATTAATAAACATTTCAAATCTAATAGAAATAAAGTGGAAATGTACAATATGGTTCAAAAGAATTTGCACAGTTTATTTTTACAATTCTAAATAAAATCTATTCGGTTCGCAAATAAGTCCTTTCGGTTTTTAAGCCACTGTGATACACTTCTTATATGATGAATTAATCCCTAAGGTGGATTGTTTATCCTGTTTGTAATATGTCAACAACTATATCTGTTGACTCTTGTTGAAACTAACTTACTAATGTGTTTTCTATTGCACTGTGAATATTGAAGAAAATATCATTCATTATCGGCATATTTTATTGTATTATTTTAAAAAAGGTAAGCGTGCTGCAGAAGCTCATAGAAAAATTTGCAATGTTTATGGAGAAAGGAGTTTCTGTTTATATATTCCTTATGTAGATATGAAATCAAAAAACCATTCATACGACTTTGGAGAGCAATAATTCATCAATGGATATAGTAACATCGAATTTGGAGAACATCCTGAAGATTTATGAATGATCGGAAGGGTATTATGTTCCACCAAGACAACGCAAGGCCACACACCTCATTGGTTACTCTATTATTATTATTGGTCACAAATTTTGATCCTTGAATGGGACCTTTAGCCCCACCCTCCCTATTCACCAGACCTAGTTCCAAGTGACTACCACTTGTTCCGGTCTCTGCAGACCTCCATAAATGGAAAGAAATTCCAGAAGGAACAGGACATCAAAAATCACTTGGATCAATTTTTTAATAATAAACTCCAGACATTCTATGAACATGACATAATGCAGTTAGTGGAAAGAAGGGAAAAAGTCATTAAATATTGGTCAGTATATTGTAAATTAAAATTTTATGTCTATAATACATTGAGTTTTATTTCATCCTGAAAAACCGAAAGGACTTATTTGCCAACCCAATATATTAAAGCTTTTATTAATATTATAACATCAATTAGTTAATTATTATAGAAATTGACAATATTTTGTAGGCTGGTGGAATAAATTCTCTCTCCCACTCCCTCTCTCTCTATCTCTCTCCCCTCCCCTTTCCTCTCCTCCACCTACAGAAGAAGTTCCAGAGACTATGCAGCAGTTTAATGAAGATATAAATCCAATTCAGCTCTGGACCTTCTCTAATAGACTCCACCTCAATCCCAAGAAATGCTGCTGGATGCTGATACAGAGCCCCTAACTGGTTGTAAAAGCTGAGAAGAATATTTCCCTGCCCTTGCTGACGATCATGGATAGTGCCATACCCTGATCTGAAAAAATAAGAGTACTTGGAGTGATGATTGGTGGCTCGTCATGGTGGAATCATGCCAGCCTTTTAGGGAGACGGTTATACATAGTTCTACATTCTTTCTCTAGGTGGAATCGAGGTGCATTTTTGTCAACTGAAGTAAAAAAAGAAAGTAGTCTCCGCGCTAATCCTTCCTCTGGTGTGGTATTGTGACTTAGTGTACATCGACATATCAGAATCGGAAGACGTAAGAGTTAAGAGGGCTCTCAACGCTGCTATCCGATATATATTCAGTATAAAAAGGGAAAACCACATCACTCCATACATAAATACGCTAGGCTGGTTGAGAAAAAAGGACTATCGGAGACTCAATTTAATGTGCCTAGCGAGAAAAGTTATGGACTCTGGAGATCCTGCAGATCTAAGGAGAACAGTGAAAAATTACAGAGGGCATTCCGGCTGCCGGCTTGCAGAACAGAGATTTCAAGGAATGCTTTCCACGCAGCAGCGGTGAAAGAGCTCAACTGGCTTCTGGTAGAGGTAAGATCGGTATCCTTCTTCCGCAAGGCTTGCCTTAAGCGATTCCTGATTGCGGACCAGTCGAGTGCGCCATGAAGATTCGATGTTATTGCAATTACTCTCTCCTCCCTCTAGCACCTTTATTTTCATTTTATTTATTTATTTAATTTTGTTTTATTTTTGCACTTCTTGACTCTGTAATGTCACCTGTAATCTCTCTTCTTTTTTTTTTTTCGCTCTTTCTTTCTTTTTTTTATCATATTTCATTTTATATTTATACTAACCTTATTTTATAAAAAATTTAGTAACATTAAAACTAAATTGTAAAATTATCATAAATAAGGAACATTGTATATTGTAATGAAAAATGTTAAGTTTGAAATGTCAAATTATTTTTGTCTGTAAGAAAGGGACCTAGGCCCTAGGACAATAAAAGATCAATCAATCAATCCCCCTCCCCCTCCTGTCATCTTTCTTTTCAAAAATAGGAGTTGAGACTTTTAACAGTTTAGGGAAAGCTTCTTTTCCTACCACTATCTCATGACAACCTGGGTGACTTCTGGTGCTCTCGTTTCTAAAGTCAGTCGAGAACCTGCCTCGATTCCTAAAGCAAAGTCGTCTAAGTATGCAGATGGTGTGTACCCCACTTCCTTCAAATTGACCAGCAGAGAATTCATATTTACGAATATGTTCCAAGGAGTAGACCCAAAACAGATTTTTGTGCATAACCACGCTGAATTGATCTTATTATCTCTTTTTTTTTTCTTCCTTTTCCCTCATTCTTTCTCTCTTTTTTTTCTTGCACCTTAGGGCAATCCTATATCAGCGGTACATCCAATTTTCTAACTTGATTATTTTAACACGATTTTAATTAGGTCTTAGTCACCAGACATGGTAACTAAGCAGGCAGGCCAGCTCCCATTTTGATCCAAATTCATGAGCCAAAAGTCAGTTTCTTAATTCCATAGGGGCATTAAAAACCAGTCCGACTACACTAATGGGCTGCCTGCAACTGGAGGACTGTTATCACTGTTGCATTCATATTTATATTCTAGAGAAGTCTTAAAACTGATCCTTGACCACAGCCTTGTTGAATTGTTCTCAGTATCCTTTTCCTGGCTAATGAAAGAAGACGGAACTCTTCTCCAAAAATGACAATATTAGTCTGTATATATTTTTGGGCAATTAAATTTTCTTAGTCCTCCATTATCATAGGCCACCACATATTGTCAAATGCACCAGCAACATCATAGTAGAGAACTACCAAGTACTTCGATGGTGAGTCCTTGGCAGAAGATATGAACTGGTTGATATCAACAGTTGTTGACTGACATTTACGACCTCTAAACTGATATGAGGAGAGTGTAGCTGAGTAAGCTTCCAAAATCGAATCAAAGGTTTTTAGTGAAAGGCCAGATGTGGAGCTGAGCTGCGTCACAAGGGGCAGCTCCGCTCATCTTTGGCTCAACCAAGATTCAGTAATGAAGCTGAAGCTACGCTCACCTTTCCCCACCATACCTACTCACCACTGCCTTACAATTAAGTGCCATTGTTCCTCAGTGTCCTTTTTTTCAGCTTGTTCTCACTGTACAACCTCTCAAATTATTTTATTTTGGTTCAGTGTAAAATATGCAATGGATGTGAAAGAATTTTTAATCGAATGTGTAAGAAAAAATATTCAATTTTATAAGCAAATATTCGTTTTTTCTTGCTTATCAACTCTGACATGATCAAATTTGCTATTTTTAAAAATTTTATATATGGTATATATGTGTATTAAAAATGTTATACGGAATCTGAGAAGGGTACTGATGCAAGGCAAGTTACTGACTCAGCTGAGCTCAACTACGCAATCAGTTGCCGAATCCCTCTTGCTATGCACAGGGCTTTTGGTGGCTGGTAAGCCTAAAACTTTCCCCATTGCGTTGAGGAGGCATATTGGTCAATATGATTTTGCAGTGACTTCTGTTATGCCTGATTTCAGGACAGATATTAGTTCAGCTTCTTTCCAAATACAGGGGAAAATCCTTCACTCAAACATCGGTTATGAAACGTAGATAAAGGACCGCTTAGCATCTTTGAATTCCTCAGGATATCAAGGATATCATATCCGGCCCTGGTGCTTTCCCCGGTCGATGTCAATTCAACTCCCAAAGTCAACTCTACATCCTCTTTTTCCCATCTAGTTTGCGGAACTTTATGCATGGCAGTTTTCTTCTGCATGTGGTCTACACTGTCTGAAGTCGGATCATCTCCAGAGAAGGATCTTACCATTATCACTTTCACAGCTTCATCCCCCGTTCTAGTTACCGTTGTGCATGAATGATGTAAAAGTGTTATTTCAATTTTTACCAAGAGCTCTTTGATATGCAGGTCCCCATGGGCTTTTGCATTCCTCGAGGTATAGGTACCATGATTCCTTCTGCGCTTTTCCAATTCCACTTGGAAATGTCTGTTCACTGCATAATAAGCCATTTTCAAATTTCGTAGGACATTAGCATCAGTTTCTCTCTGAAAGCTGTGTCTGCTCTGTACATTTCCGTCTTCAGTTCTATATTCCACCACGGCTTCCCTCTTCTTGCTGACTACCTTACAATGGGTAATACTTTCTGAACCGCTGTAAAGATGTTCATTGAGAGTTCAGTGGCCTCATCTTTCAGTTGTATGTTTTGGTAGGGTTCCAAATATGATAGGTGCCTCTGAAGATTACCAACTACTCTCTTCCACTCAGCACTTTTTGTCACAAAACGTTCCCTTCGATACTGTTTGCTTTAATATTGCCAATTGATTTCAAATGTAACGACACAATGATCGCTATATGTCCAATCCAGTACACTCCAAGGACTAATTTACTGACCAATGGAAGGTGGTTACGTGGTACCATGTAGCGATCAATAAAGAAGCCTTCACTAGGTCCGGAAAATGTTGGCAAGGAAGTGGTTTGTTCATAATAGTTAGGTCATTTCTACCTTTCCATCAGTCCGTTGCTTACTCCATAAAAATGAATGGGCATTAAAATCACCAGGCACAATCACATTTCTGCTCAGCATACCATGATATTCTGTAACTGCATCAATATATCTCCCAGTGGGACTGCAAACTTCGCATAAACATTTAAGAAATCGAAATTAATGGCGGGAGAATCAATGTTGACAATTGAAATAAAATTATTATCGATATCTGGCTGAGAAGTTATTGTGAGATAACGGTTGAAGATCAGTAGGACGCTCTACAGTGCATCGTGCATACTACTTCCATTTCTAAAAATGATGCGGTCTTTTGGTTCAGCTCCCTACACTCCTAATAGAGGATACCTTCCTCCCTCCTCATTACAGTGGATCCCTAAATTATTTATTTTTTTCATTATTATTATTACTAGCCTGTTCTTAGAATTATGTTTAAACTAGTAGGTTTTCCCTAATTAAGGGGGTAATAGTGTAACTTCCTGTGGGGATCATTCATACTGAGAAGTAGGGACTGTTAAAAAACTAAAATTATTCATTTAATAGTTATAAAATCACATTCTTCAACTTTATGGCCATTTGTATTATATATTAAAGAAAATAAGAATTATTTCAATTTTCCTAGAATTTTATTCATTTCCTCATTACTCGAACTTAATTTTTTTCTAACATCATATTTCTAAATAATCGAACATCAAAGAAAACACTTTATTATCTAACATATCATATATATTAGCAGACATTCACTTTTTATTATTAAAGATAATAGACACCAGACGAGATTTTGAAAAATATAATTTTGAACACTTCAAGGGAAGTAATATTATAAAATAATAAATAAGATAAGATAAAATACAATACCTGTAAGGATAAGATTCCCAAATGAGTATGTGCTTATCAGTAGAAAAGGCATCAGGGTGAGAATTATTGACATGCTGTGAAGCATACAAGTTGAAAAAATCACAAAAATGATGATAGAGATTGACAGCTGTGGAAAAAAATTTATTTTATAATTCGTGTGAATCTAAAATTATCATATATTAGGATAAAAATAAATAATTAATATTGAAAATATCAGAGAATAACAAATATTTAAAGAAAATATTAACATTAAAATCTAAATAATTTAAGAAATAACAAATGGATAGAATAAATATAACTTACAAAATAGGATATAAACTACTATGTAACTTTGAACATAAGAAACTTTCCCTGCAAAGCAATTTGCTTAAGAAGATAGAATGATTACAGTAATTGACCAGTCTGATAACAAGACCATAATCTTAAATTACTTTAGTTTTTACTTTGACAAAAAGGGAAAACTAAAAAAGAAAGGATAACATTACATATTTCTGTCTATTACCTCAATTTAAATACTTGCCTCATTAAAAGTAAAAATTAACATACATAAAAATTAATACTGCATACTTGCATCAATTTTCATTATATACGTTGGGGTGTCTATAAAGACATCACATTGGTCCCTACGTATAGGAAATGGTGATTCATCAAAGAAACGCAATTCAGGTCCCCACGATTGCAATGGACTAATATGGTCACATTGATTTTTAAGCTTGCCTCTATCCAACCTGCCATCAACAAAAAAATAAAATAAATAATAATGATAACAATTCCTATTAAATCATCTAACACTCAGAATAAGCAAAGTAAACCCCTTCTCACTTGCAATAACCAGTTATATCTCCCATTGAAAGAACATCCATGTTATATCTTATTCTGTCCTTACGTGTTGCAAGTGATGTGAAGTTTATTAATATATTTCTACCACGACAAAATCGCAAATGGTGAGAACATTTTAAAGATGACTCGCCCTAGAAATAATATAAGAAATTCTTAAAATTAAGGTGGATATAGTTAGGTATAAAAATATAAGTATATAATACTTGAACAGTTGGCTTGCAAATTGTTTGGAGTTCCTCCAGTTGTTCTTTAATGTAACCAAAATCTCCTTGTTTGTAGAAAGTATTAACTTGTTCAAACTTTGACCTAACCCACCCTTGATGATCACCTGGACAAGCCGGTCTTGAAAATGAATTTTCTGGTTTGCAATTAGGTTCATAGCCCCAACATTTATTCTTTCCTAAGTATTTCTACAAGGATTGTTTAATTTCACAATATAATTCTTGACAGATTAAATAACCAGAATATTATTAAATTAATAAATACCTTGAAAGGACAACTGGGGTCCTTTTTACACTTTTCTGCTTCCTGAGGAAAATTGCTAAAGAAGAAAGGCAAATGTTTCTTAGGTAAATTTATATTGTCATAATGATTTCCATTTGATGAGTCACTAACACTGTAAATTGATGAAAGCAATACAACTAAAAATATCCTGCAAGAAATCATCTCCAAGATTTCAAAAAATACTAAGGAATGAAACAGCAACACATAACAGATAAGCTTATAGCATTCATGTTCCAAAAAAATTAGTCACTTAACTAGTAATGAGCGTAATGGCAACTAAAAAGCAGGCTATAAAATAGAAACAGTTAGAAACGCCTACTTTCATACCAAATTTAGTAACAGAACTGGTTTACATAAGTGAACTGGCGGATTTAAATGATTTGAACCCACCGGCACAGTTATGTAAGGTTATAACAGCTCCATAACTCCCCCAATCAGGAATCGATTTATTGTTGAGGGTAGGTTTTATTTTGGTTGCGTGAAGGTTGAAAGTGTGAATGTAAATGTAATTTTGATAAGAATGTTAAAATTATTTGGCATCTCCTAAGAGTTAATTTGTTTTAAATATGGGCAAGTCTTCTAAAGATAAACGCGATATATATTACAGACTTGCAAAAGAAGAAGGATGGCGTGCACGAAGTGCTTACAAATTGCTACAGATTGACGAAACTTTTAATGTTTTTAAAGGTGTCACGAAAGCTGTTGACTTGTGTGCTGCTCCTGGTAGCTGGAGCCAAGTTTTAGCAAAAAAATTGGACTCAACTAACGGAAATCCTAAGATTGTTGCTGTGGATCTTCAAGCAATGGCACCACTACCAGGTGTAGTTCAGATACAGGGAGATATAACTAAAGCAAGTACTGCTAATTTAATCATTAACCAATTTCAAGGAGAATTTGCTGACCTGGTTGTCTGTGATGGTGCTCCAGATGTCACTGGTCTTCATGATATTGATGAATATATTCAAGCCCAGTTATTACTTGCTGCCCTTAATATAACAACTCACATACTTAAGCCTAAAGGATCATTTATTGCAAAAATCTTTCGAGGCAAGGAAATTTCCTTACTCTACTCTCAGTTAAGAATATTTTTTAAGAGGGTGACCATTGTGAAACCAAGAAGCTCCAGAAATTCAAGCATTGAATCATTTGTACTTTGTGAGGACTTCAGTGCCCCTATGGGTTATGTTCCAAATATGATGAATCCACTACTGGAAAATAAGAGTGTAAATTGGGATTCACTAAATGAAGTCAATTCGTACATTGTGCCTTTTTTGGCTTGTGGCGATTTAAGTGCTTACGATTCGGACAAAACGTATCCTTTAAATTTTAATGGCAAATATGAACAAAGAGAGCCTGTTCAAAAACCCATTGAGCCCCCTTATATGGAAGCAATGTCTCTGATTAGCAAACCAGGTGACACTCACATTCAAAAAAGTGAAGTAGATTCATAATGATGTGTTTCTTTTTAATGTAAAATAGTTTCTATTCAATTATTGTTTGGACCTATTACATATGTATATAAATAAACATCTTATTAGGAAGATTTTTTATTTTAATTACGGTTTTAAGTCTTACAAAGCCAAAAATAATTAATTTAATAATATTTCAATTATAATTTAAATGTGTCTATATCTCAAGAACAATTTATATAGTTTCATTTAGTTATTTGTATATGTAATCTCATTTCAGAATTATTGTAATCATGTAATGCCCATCCATCATGTTGGAGTGACACTTTTGAAATAGCAACAAATGATTTACCTTAAATTTCATTTTGTAGTAAAGACTGGTACTAATAGAAAAGGGTACTAGTACCTAGAAAGTGTCAAATCTGAATGACAGGTGGATCAAGAACACATTGCTCTACACACAGAATCCCAAAATTTGTGGAGTCATTGAGTTATAGAAGGTTAAAAATTTGTATATGAATTGAAGTTGAACCTTTAGGGTTTCAGCTTTTTATTCCAATCCCTTCTCTGATTTGTAGTGTTTTGCACACCTTTCCAAATTGAGTTGAAGGGTTGAATATTTGTATATGAATTGGGTTGGTGTTAAAAAAGTGGATGGTGAAGTTTTATTCCACTTAGTCATTTTGATAAATAAATTAAATTAGGAGAGAAATTTGGCAGTTTAATAATTTAAAGACTCTCTTTAATTTATATATGTATGCATAATATTTTGTATTTAATTGAGTAATTCAATAATTTATCCTTTTTTTTTATCAAGATAATTTTTTGCATTTTGAAAATAAAAATATAATTATAAATTTTACAATCGAAGAATATAGCGCAGCATCCCGTGCCAAAAAAAAAGGTGATGTTTCATACAAAGGTTTGTCCTTATAAATTGTCCATGTCTACAGGTCTGATGAGAAAAATGTAGGTCTATCAGTATATAACCACTGGAATACAAAATGATGGCCAGGTGAAATACAGACTTTATTTAGGTATAAAACATATATAGAAGTCATATAGATATAGAAAACTACCAACCCTTTAAATTTATAGTATTTACTCTCTTAAAATATGAAATAATAGTCAGTTACCCCATATTCATGGATTTCAAGTCTACAATTTGAATTTATGATTCAAAAAGTTCACTTTTGCCTGTTTTTAACTTACATCAATGAAACTGGATTCTAGTGGTAATGATGTTCTATGTAACATTAATGCTGACAAAATTTATATTCAATTTTTCACTATCTTCTGTAGTTTCCAAGACATCTGTCAAATCACTAACGAAAAAAGAAATGGTTTTTACCTTGAATTTTTAACATGATTTGACTCACTAACCTTTCTCTTTTCGTTTTACATAAATGTCATGAGGAAGACAGTTATTTAACAATAAATTTTCTCTAACAAAATACAATTCTGTACTATCTTGCCTTTACCCATTTTAAAGCTAGAGCAATTATAACTTTATGGTTAAACTCCAATACTTAGCTGATCTACTTTTCCTTATACAGCTATTAATCATTACATAAGGCAATATATATTTTATATATACAGGGTGGCCCTTAAGTAGAGGAAAATTTTTATAAAAGTGATAGCAGACCTCAAGAGCTACAAAAAAGTTCATATAAACGATCGGCCAATTTTCAGCAGAAACGTAAGAAATCTAAGTTTTGTGTTTCTTTAAGTGTTATGTTTTTTATTGAGTAGGAAACGATAACTAAAGAAATATTTGATTTAAGTAATTAACGATTACTTCAACGTATACTAGACCAAATTTACTTTAAATGAACATAAAGTATGTCATTGTTAAAACCATTTAAGGATTTCTGAACAGCTCAACTAAGCTAAGTATTTTTAAAAAATAAATTATTCGCGATTCCTTTTATCATCATCCAACTACAGACACCGTTTTTAGAAAAACCTCTTTATTTCGTAAGTTTTAACTCTGTATTAATTAAGTTGATATTTATTCAGGCAAAAATTGAGATTCGCCTTAAGTTGTATAAACTTTTTATCCTTTCAAGTAAAAGTACCCTTGGTTTAAGTAAAAGTTACTACAATTAATTGTTGGAAAGCATTTACTTCTTCTTTTTCTATGATTTTAGGTGTATTATAATAAATTAAATTGCTTAAATATACTTCTTATTTTTATGAAAAAAACATTTTAAAATAATTACTTCAAACATTTTTCTTGTAAACTAATTATGAAACAGTGTTTTTTGCCCAGATTTATATTCTAGGAATTTATAAGTGACATAATAAATGTTTTTACCCCTAAAATGTACGTTTAAAACAAAGAAACCGGCTGATTGCTTCAAATACTTTCATGAAAACATTAATATTTGGATCAGGAACATTTAGTTTGTCCTTTGTAAATACAATTTGATTTCTATAATATATATCTGAATGAAAAAGACAATTTCATAAAAACTTTACTGGAAAAATATTTTAAAATCAAAATTGCTGAAATCTATTTTTTATAAATAAAAAGTGTATTTAGGTAATTTTAATATTAAAAAACATCTCAGATCATGGAAAACAAGAAATAAAAGCTTCACAACATTTAAATGTTTTAATTTTTGCTGAAAACAGGAATACTTTTACTGGACAGGATAGAAGTCCTCATCATTTTTACACAACTTGAGATAAATATCAATTTTTTTCCTAATAAATATCAACTTAATTAATACAGACTTAAAGCTTACCATACTAAGAAGTTTTCCTTAAATTGGGGTATGTGTAGTATAGTTGGATGATGATAAATAAAAATCGTGAATAATTTATGATTTAAAAAAAAATAAAACTTAGCTTAGTTTAGTCGCTCTAAAATCCTCTTATAATAGTTTTAACAATAACAAAGTTCATTTTCATTTAAATTTCATTTTGTCTAGTTTACAGTGAAGCAATCTTTAATTACATAAATTAAATATTTCTTTAATTATCGCTTCCAATTCAAGAAAAAACACGAACTACTTTTAAAAAACACAAAACTTGGATTTCCTGCTGAAAATTAGCCAAATGTTTATATGGACTTTTTTATAGCTCTTAAGGTATGCTGGTGTGTGTGTATACACTGGGTGAGTGTAGGTTAAAAAAAGGATCTGTAGCTGACATGCTCAGAGAAATTTCTTTAAGCTTTATGGGTAAAAACTTTAATATTGATGCGATTGTATTTTTCTTGTATTCATCTTATAGAACTACTTTTCACCTTTCCAAGAAGCATTTCAAATCCATGAAACATTCCTCTAAATATTAAAAAATTTAGAGAATAGTTTTTTTGCCTCAGTAGCTGTCACTGTTTGATTTGGAATGTTCCTACAGCTGACAGGGATGAGAACAAGTGTAATTATGTGAAATAAAGTGTTGACATTTTATATTATTAATTTAAAAACTAATTAACAAAAACTGCCTTTAATTTACTATAAAACTAACTTCAATTGATCTTTTGACTTAAATTTATTGTTAAATGTAAGTCACTGTCAAGAATTGACACCTATTAAATTTCCAATTCCTCAAAAAAAGTATAAAACAAAATAAAAAAAACACTAAGAAAAAATTTTGGGATAAATAGAAAAGGGAAAATCCAAAGTACAGGAGAAAAAATATAGAAACCAAACATTTATGAAATAGAGATCCTGAAATCCTATTTTTTGAGGAATATCTGAGGCATTGGTACACTGTCAGCTATTGCTGCTTTTACCCTCATACAAACATAAAGTTATAATTGCTCTTGCTTTAAAATGGTTAAAGATAAGATAGTAAAGTATATTATACTAGAGAAAATTTAATATTAAAGTCTTCCTCTTGGCTTTTTGGTAAAATGGAAAGATAGATAAGAGTTAGGGAGTCAAATAATGATAAAAATGCAAAGCAAAAACCATTTTCTTTTCATTAGTGAATTGTGGGGATAAATGTCCCCAAAATTATAAAAGGCAGTGACAAAATGGATCTAATCATTTTTGTTGTAAATTTTGTGGGCTTTAATTTTACATACAATATTATTATCGCTAGAACCAATAGTTTCACTGATATAAGCGAAAATCCAAAAACAGTGAACTTTAACCCATTGAAAAACCCGTTTTCAATGCAATACACAAAATCAGGTATGAGAGCACTTCGAAAGCTGTTGACACAAGGCTACTTTTGGCCAAATATGAAGAAGCATATTCCGGAATGGGCTTGCTGCTTATTGAATGCCAACGCTACAAAGTTACGCCGCACACTGTTTCTCCACCAAGGAAGATTTCTGGAACATGGTTCATATTCATATTATAAGACCACTTCCTTCTACAGAGGGGAACAGTTGTGTCATCTTCATTGATCGGTACGCTAGGTGCCAATTGAGAACATAAAAGCAGATTTAGTCGCCGCCGCTTTTTATAATGGATGGGTACGGTACAGTAGATACGGTGTGCCTTGCAAGCTTACAACAGAACAAGGTAGGCATCTCTTCTCAACGACTCACAAACCACCTTGGAACTGAGAGATCTGCACTTCGCTCTACCATCTTCAGTCTACTGGCCTAGTCGAGCGGTGGCACAGGCCGCTGAAGAATGTCCTATCTGGACACTAACCATTGTACTAAGTATCTTCCAATAGTGATGCTCGGACTTCGAACAACCATAAAATTAAGGACCGATTAGAGCGTGCACTACGCTCTCTACGGGCAGCTTGCGAGATCTCGTCAAGCCAATCTCTCATGCTGCTGACCCTGGAAGTTTCAATGGGGATGTAAAAGATGCAATTGAAAGCATGCGCCTAACTGCTTATAAAACGAACTCCAGGAATATTTTTCTGCATCCGGATCTTAAAAAATGCAGCCATGTTTTCCTAATAGGATAAGATTCAAAAATCTCTTTCTCTTCTCTACTCCGAATCCTATTCGGTACTTGGGCGAACTTCCAGTATGTGTACTATTCAACTTCCAAACCGAGAACTCATAGTATCGCAAGATAGGGTGGAATCTGCATTTCGAAGGGATTCTGAATTTCCATTGTAGACGACTATTATCCTTCAGTCTGCGGATGACAAACTTCCACCAGAGACTCTCACTGCTAAAAGTGAAACCCAAACACAACCTTCAGCTCCTCCGTAATCCACCA